GAAAATCATTCATCATAGTGAAAACAAAATGATATTACCATGTTGATTCAATGCAAATGTGTTTGATTCATCAGACAGTAACAACAAGTAACTTGACAACGGAACATGATTTGGGGACCTTAAGCACAACACCACACCACTCAACCTTCCCATAAATCTCATGTCCGTTGCACCTTTCAAGCAAAATTTCAGCACACCAAAACTTTTTCTTCCACTGCACAATTTTTTCCCAAAAAACCGCAATCTTTCCACCATAATCTACCAATCTAACACCATCATAACATTTGGGTAATCTAGGCAGTACTCCTTCTAAACCCTTTAAAACACTCCAAGATCTTTCTTCAACATCATACCATACAATGGTTCCAAACCAATAACTGTACAACACGTTATCTATCACGCAATAAGTATCGGGAAACCAACTCGAAGGCACATCCATTAACCCTACCTCATCCCATTTATTTTCTTTCGGCTTGTAAACCGCACGACGACTGCTATTCCAAAACATGTAAAGCTTTCCTTCGAAAACAAAACTTCTAACTACCAAAGTACCGGGTATTCCCGCTTCAGGGCTTGGCACATGTTCCCATATCTGGGTTTTGAGATCAAAACATTCAATCCAATTCGAGGGATCAAAATTTTCAGAGCCTTCCGCTACATAAATTTTCCCATCAAGAACGTTCAGAATAGGCCACTTCCGGGGGACTCCCATGCTTGGAGCTTCGTGCCACGTGTGAGACCGACAGTCCATGAACAAGACCCTAGACGAGGACATGTATCCGTCAATCTTGTAGATATTACAACCATCAGCGATTAAACTCCACGAACGCGCATAAAGAGAATCTTGAGTTGGGATTGAGACTAAAAGATTCTCACTAGAATTATTATCTTTCTTCTTAGTGCAATTCTTTAGGATTCTATACGGTGCAAAGCAGGGAGTGAACCATCTAGAGCTATGTTTAGGGTTAGAGTTAGGATCAGTGATTTGAATCGCTCTCCGACAAAGAGTGAACCAACGCGTTGGGTTAGAGTCACTAGGGAACATAAACACACATAGAGACAACTCTCAGTGCAGCCTAAGAGGGATCAGGTATCGTAAAGCTCAAGCGAAGCAAGGAGAGAACGAAATCTCTTCAAACTAAGGGGAGAGTCGGATAGTATAATCTCGAGACGCGTGCTAAGCAATTTAAAATCAAATCGTTAGGAAGCTTTAGAAATGTCATCGTTTCTGTGACCGGTGGCTTCTCTCCGTTCATGGCTGTGGTCCTTGAATTAGCAAAAGCGCCTAAGAGTCAATCTCCCTTAAATAATATATCTTGAACCTTGAATTGGAAGAACGAATATTTTTTTCTTCTTTTTTACAAACAATGAATATTTCATTCTTCTTCTTTTGTACGAATAATGAATATTTTCCTTTGTTTACTTACCAAAATAAATATTGAATATTTCCGTCCCCATCCTCCAATAACGTTCCCAAAACGTATTTTAGCCTAAGCATTGGAGACTCACTCAGAGTAAACAGAAATATTGAGCCTCCTAGAAATGCATAGAACGTCCATAGGGTGACAGAGTTCTAAAAATCGTTTTAGGCGTCCGCCTAGGCGGCGCTTAGGCGCTAAACCCCTATAGACCGTGGAGATTACCGCTTTTACCGTTTAAAATATTATTGTATTATAATCATAAAATAATATATAATTTCTTATATATAAATCGTAAAATTCTATATATTTTGCTATAAAATAATGAATATAAATACAATATAAAATTTATTAATTATAACTTATGGTTTTTTACATATTTTACAATATATAAGTAATATATTATTTATTTTTGTAAAACGTTTAGACCGCCTATTAAATCGTCTAGGCTCCGATTAGGCGTTCTAGGCATTATGCATTGAGTAAGATATTTTGGTCTAATCGAAAGCTATGCACTAGGCATTGGGTACGATCAGGCCCGGTCGAGAACAAATTTTTTTCTTGTTTAACCTTTATATATCAAAAATTGCAAAAAAACTCTCTTTTTCGCAAAAAAAATTTTGGGGCCATATTTTGCAAAAGAAAAAAGACTCTAGAATTTTTTTTAAAGCAAATGGATCATGTACAAATGCACTCCTTGCACAGGATCTGGGTAAGATATAGGTCTAAAGTTATGCTGAAGGTGGATGAGAGCTATCATGTTTGCAATATAATATACACTAGAAATTTTAGATTTATATGTGAATGTTGACGATAACAAAAATATGGTTTAATTTACTGATCGAGATGGAAATCAACAATAACTTTTGT